ACGAAACTCCTGAACTGCACGGTGTCCTGAGCTATTTATCCATATTAGTGCAAAGTTCTGAAAGTTGTAGAAAACACAAAGCATTATCAGTTCCTGGAAGAGCTTTTTCTTATTTGCTTTTTGAACTTCCCACGTTATTTCAACTTTGGCTATTTCTTTGCTTGTTTTTAAGAAGGCGTTTTATGATGCCATGCAGGAGACACTAGAAGGGGATAGCTGACGAGGAAAAAATTAAAAATTGGATAAAAAGTAAATGAATAATGTCATATTACCAAAAAGATGAGAGGCTAATTTGTGCCGACTTTTTGCTAATTTTGTTCAAGCCTCAAAATGAGGAGCTGTCACCCGTTCTGTGTAGCACTGATGACAGTGCCAATGATCCATGAAATAAGCTGCCGCTGGCTTTGTTCTGATAAGAATGAACAAATCTGCACAATGTTCGGCTCCCAGAATCTCATTTTCATACTTGCATGCAGGCTAAAAGAAATAAGCTGTTTGCAGGCTTGATTAATCAGACATTGGAGGGGTTTTTGTCTCTTTGATCTCTTTCGTCTCCTAGGTAACTCGCTTGACATTAATGTTGAGCTTGAGTAAAGACAATCAGGAATTGTCGACCAAACTGATATAAAAATTAAAGACCTTAACACTTTAAGTACTCCAGTAATGGTTCCGCTTTACTTCAGAAAACATCTGTTTTCATTTAATTAAAGAACAAAAGAGAATGGCATAAATATTTTTCATAGAGACCTATTATTCCATAAAAAGTTAAAGTATGATAATTGGTATTTTTAAATAAGTGCCTTGAAAGTGTTCAAAAGGGAGGAAAACTTCATAAATCTGCTACAAGCTAGTAATTTTGAGATGAGTAAAATATTTTATGAAATGGATAAGAAGTTTACAGTTATGCTAGATTAAGCTGTTTGAATCAGATGCTTCAGATGATTATCAGCAAACTTCAGAATGGCAAAGGCTTAGCAAGAAAAACCAACTTTATTTTGAAAGTTTGTCTTTTAAAAATCTCTACCGTGTTACAAGATGCGCCATTATATCTCTTTTACAACCCAATATGATTTACACATGCGAAACCTGTAAAATTGAAAGGAATTAAAAAAATGTCGCCGTGCATTTGCTTGAGGTTATGCAGACGCTTTTACAAATCTTCCAAGTGTCTGTAAAGATGAATGCCCCAAGGGTCCAGCCAGGGCCCTGCTTTTCCAACCAGCTAAAGCCCTTATCTTAAATCCAAGCAAAGTACCATTAATCTTTTTGAAAGACCTTTTATGGCTTTTAATATATCCCAAATTAGAACATTTTACACCCTTGGTTCCTGAAATATGGTGATAAAAAGCCTTTAGAGCTTAATTTTCCTTACCGCTTGCTCTGACCAATTTGCAGTTCTTTGTGATAATGTTTAGACACCTTAATTAAAATGCAGCAAAATATTGGATGTTCTATATGGAAAATGCTGATACTTTGGCTACACATACAAGAAATTCTGTATATATTTTTATTCATTTAAAAATTTTTCTTGCCACATTGTGTTGCTATAGTTATCTGATGACCCAAAACATTTTTTTTTTTTTTTTTTTTTTAAATATAAAAACCATCGGCCAAGCTTTTGTGATGTTTACTTTGGGCATGAGGATGCATTTTTCTTCTTACAGGAGTGAAAGGATTCTCGTTGGCCTGTGTTGTTTGTAATACTGAAACATAGCACGATATTCTTTTATCTCCGGGAACTTGGCTTCGTCATCTTGCCTGGGAAAATGAGTTTCTTCTCAACTGTCTCTTCCATAGAAGATCTTATTATCCTTTCATATTTCCAAGTACTTCCGTTCTTTTTTTCTTTCCCCACAGGAATAAGTGAGACACATTTTAAGCGTGTGAAGGACACAAAATTGATATGACTTTTCATCATCATTACAAGCTAAAAGATTCTTTCTGTAAATACATAGACCAGGCTTGTTGAATGTTTATCAGTCGAAGAACATTCCATTTAACCTAACCCAAGGCAAAATACAGTTAGAAAATACACTTTGTACCCGAAGAGGTCTGTTTGAAAGTATTGCCTACGTACCCAGTCATTTATTATATGTACTTAGTCCACAGAAATGCTGGAGCCCTCTCATGTAAATACATGTTTCATGCACTTTAATGAATTACTGTTAACAGATTCATACCATGTCTTGTGGAATGTATGCTCTAAATCCTTACTGTGGTGCTGAGTGCGCTGGCTTGGCCTGAACGTTGCCGGAAAATGAAAAGCGTTTACGTTCTTAGAGCGCATGACCACGTTGAGATGAAGAGTCCCATTTAAGTCGAACACGCTGAGATACTCTTTGGTTTATCAATCCCCAATCCAGAAAACCCACGTTGGAAAATCTCAGTAAGTTAGGCATGTAAGCTACCTCTTAATTTACAACGGTTTTAGGAAATAATGTTTTCACGTGGTTGACGGTACATGGCGGATATGGTTCGGACCATTTTTGTTTTATCCTCCTTGCACAGGCTCGGTTTCAGTAGGAGATGAACTAGGCGACTGGGACTTCTGTTGGGAGGTGGGCTTGGCAAAACTCTCCCGTACCAAGTTGGCATTTGATACGTAACACATAGGAATATGGTGAAGTAGAAAACGCAGAGTTCCACGTTTTACCTTTTGGAGGGTGAGGGGCAGGGAAGATACTGAATGTTCTACGTGAATGTGGAGAGACCTAGCACACGTATCAGCACAGGTAGCCAGCTGGGTTTTACGACAGTAGGCCGTTCACTAGGGGCACTCGCTGCTCCCCTGCTCGCCCGCAGCACCCCACGTCCCCGGCTGCCCGGCTTCAGGGGGAACTGCGTGAGTAGTCGCGACCAGAGGGCAGTGCGCAGACATGACGTGTGTCACTTCCGTGCCAAAGCGTTTGAGAGCCAGTGTGAGACCCTCCGGCCGCCCCCTTCCTCTGCCGCCGCGAACCCGAAAGTCACACGCTGAGAGGCCGGCACCACGAGACGGAGGAGAGCCCAGCCATGCCACAGCCGACCAGAAGCGGAACAAAAAGTCCAAGGGCAGCCGGTGGGATTCGGGGATTTGTCTGATAAGTGTAGTTGCGGCTGGCCTCACGCGACAGGTGCTGACCTGATTTTCACGTTTATGGCGGATGGGAAGGTTTTCAGGGGAATCCATCTTAATGATAAATAGGCCACACGGCGCCCTTCCCGTTTCATTTTCCCTGGAGATGATGATGCTGTAGCCCTTTGATTCTTAGCCCTTTCTTAGCTGACGTATCTGAACTTTTCTGTGATGAACAACCGGAAACCAAGAGACAACCAAGAGAAGGCCAGTTTTGAAGCAGCGCAACTGGCGACCCCTTCTTCCCAGCCCCCAGTGTGAAAAGAAGCCTGGTTTTGTTCAGTGCTGTGTCTCCGGTGCCTAGAACAGTGCCTGGCAAAGCCATGCGTTTGCGCCCTCCTGATATTTGTTGAGTGAATGCTGTCCTGTGAAAAAAGATAATGAAGTGCTGCTCGTGTTGGTATGAATTTTGAGACTCTGAGGTTGGTCTGCTTCCCCAGGTGGGCCCTCGAGTCACAGCTGATCATTCTTTCATCGGTGCCTGTGCTGTTGGTGTTGACCAGTTCAGCCCTCTGGCTTGATCGTTGGGTTGCTTCCATTCTTGGTGCGTATTCTTACCTGGACTGGAAACTCAAACCACCCTATGCTCTCATTTATAAGCCCCGAGCAGTGCTTGATTCCTGCATGTTCGTTTCATCCTAAAGGAAACTCTTCTCCGAAACGAGCTGAAAGAAATGTCAAGCATGTGAAACCTCATTTTCCTAAATCAACTTCTCATGCGTGTGGTCTTAGCCACCCATGATGCCTCACCATTGGCCAGCAGATCCCTAAAACTCGGGCTTTAACACATTGATTTGACAGCGGCTTCCAGGTCCTTCCTTCTCTTCCGCAAGTCTGTTGTCCGGTAACGTTCATTAGGGTGAGTCCAGGGAAAGAAAGGGAAAGAGACCCCAGAAGGAGATGTATGTTTAGCCTTTGTTGTTCAACCTGGGTTCTTCACAGATATCCCTGAGCCGTTCATATAGGCAGGTATTTTTAACATCAGAGCCGCCAGAACTAGAAGTTGACCATCCTGTCCTGGAGATACTCTCTGAGGAACAGTTCTGCAGCCAGAGAGCCGTGTGTAGGCCTGTGTGTGGGAACCGAAGATGATGGCGTAGAGGCTGAAGGGCCGGAGAAGTACAGACACAGAGACTGTTTTAGGTTGGCTTAGAGAAAACTTAGGAGGTAGAGGTGGGGTGGGTGGGAGGCTTGGTTTTCATTGACCTTACCGGCCCGGGGCAGATAGGCGTCAGGTGGAGCAGGAGTAGAGGGGCCTGCAGAGGAAGCGCTTAGGTACTGTGGTCCGCGTGCCCAGCCTTTTCACCTCTTAGCACCCCTTATATTCTCTTCTCTCTCGGTGAATTAAAAGCTGTTGCCCATCATGCAAAGTGCGTTTATGAAGCAGTAATTAGCTTTCCCATGTTTTATTAATCACATCTATGACTGCCAATCAGAGCTTCTGATCAGCAGGAGATAGCCGATGTGACCATACTGAGTTGCTGTAATTCTAGCCCAGAGCAAAGAAACTTGATGTCTCTGTCAGTCTGCGCAGCCTTATCAGGGGTAAATTCCTGTTTGGCCTACTGAAATGCTGGAATAGCTTGAAGATCTTCATCATATCCTTGTGGACCCTCGAGGGGCTCTGTTTGGGAAGGATTTCCATCCAGGAGACTGGCACAACCGGGGTCTAGGGCCTGTGGGAGGTGAGGGAAGTATGGGCCACACGGAGTGCATTTGTTTACTTTGCTTGTTCACGGGGGCCTGAGCATAAGAATTTCTGATTTGCAGGTATGGCTGGCTTAGCCGCAAGTTCTCAAGTGTTTGTATTACTGTAATTCTTTATCAGCTGGAATATTTATTTTCACCTTTATGTTTGTTTGGTTTTCTCCTTTGTAATTCTTAGCTTGGTGTGAAAATTGCTAAAGCGGTTGCCTGCCACAACTTTGTAAAAGCCAAACGGGATGCTGAAAATTCACAGGTTGCTCGAAAAAAGAAGAAGCTTGCCTGGGGGTGAGTTTAAGATTTTTACTAGTAATTCTAATAACTTCATAGGAATTACAGAAATCCTGGGATCCGTTGTGTGAATCCAGTTTGTGTGTGATTGTTCACTCATTTTAGTCCTTGTGTCTTTGCTGCACGTTTATCAGATTATAAACACGGCATTTCTTCATCCCTTTTCATATTTAGTTTGTCATCAGTGGAGTATGCGAAAATGTTTCGGTTTATTTTACTTTGGCACCGAGTAAGCGTGTTTAGGAAAGTGTTTAGAAAGAAATTGAGATTTTTATGTTTTCTATTTTAGGTTTGAAGCAAAGAAGAGATGGGAAACCAAGAGCAACATGGGATATATGTAGCTTGCCAGCGTTCCTCAAGGCATTTGAGTCTTCACTTGGGCTTTTCTTTGAGTCTTCAGCTGCTCAATTGACTGAGAAGATACTCCTGCCGATGTTAACTGTGTCAGGGAACTGCCAGAAGCCAGAAACATAAGCGTAAAATGTGGGGTTTGGTTATTAAACCTTTTTAGTCGGGGCGCCTGGGTGGCGCAGTCGGTTGAGCGTCCGACTTCAGCCAGGTCACGATCTCGCGGTCTGTGAGTTCGAGCCCCGCGTCAGGCTCTGGGCTGATGGCTCGGAGCCTGGAGCCTGTTTCCGATTCTGTGTCTCCCTCTCTCTCTGCCCCTCCCCCGTTCATGCTCTGTCTCTCTCTGTCCCAAAAATAAATAAACGTAGAAAAAAAAAAAAAAAATTTTTAAACCTTTTTAGTCTTTTTCTAGAGAGTTCATTCTGTTGACACGAATGAAGCGGAGCATTCTGTTATTTGTGCACGAAATCGAAGTATACGTACCAGGAAGAAAGATAGGATTTTGTTAATTATTGATTTATGTAACCCTCCAGCATAAAGTCAGTTTTGCTTCTCGACTGTTTGGTGTAGCATAGTCAGTGAGCTCCCCGTACTTCCTTATCTGTCCCCAGCGCACCTGTGCTTCGTCTGCAGTTGTGTTTGTAAGATTGGCATTTGTTTACGAAGGATTAGTCGTAACTGCGAGAACGTCTCAACCGATACTTTTACAGATGACTTGAATTATCTTAATATCATAAAAGTAATTGTTGGCTCTTTATTGGAGGGAATAGAGTTGATATTTCCCAATCAAATGATGAAAGCAATTGATTAATTTTTGTATACCTTGAGATAAAATACCATAATTTTAAGAAGGGCAGAAAGTAGTATTTGGAGGAGGATTTAACTTTAGCTCGGCCTGGAAATGTCCTCCTAAATATCTCTCTCAGCCTTGTTGTTCCTTAAATTGTGATACGGCTCTTAGGAGAGAAAATGGCACAACCGTACTAGCCAGTTACGACTACCTCCAGACGGTATAACTTGGAACCTTCCAGGAACATAGTTTGATTATTTTTACTCCTCTTCCCCATTCCTTCTTAAAAGGTTCGATGTGTTGGGGCGCCTGGGTGGCGCAGTCGGTTGAGCGTCCGACTTCAGCCAGGTCACGATCTCGCGGTCCGTGGGTTCGAGCCCCGCTTCGGGCTCTGGGCTGATGGCTCAGAGCCTGGAGCCTGTTTCCGATTCTGTGTCTCCCTCTCTCTCTGCCCCTCCCCCGTTCATGCTCTGTCTCTCTCTGTCCCAAAAATAAATAAATGTTGAAAAAAAAAAAAATTTAAAAAAAAATAAATAAAATAAAAAAAAAATAAATAAATAAAAATAAAAGGTTCGATGTGTTAATGAGGGTGAGGTAGATCGGTGCCGGGGGAAGTAGTTGTTCTTAGATGTGTGTTTCATAGGCCTTCCTAGAGGGGCTTTGAGAAATCCTGTAAGAAGCTGGCAAATAGGCCTGGACGTTGGCTGGTTTGGCCCCTCCCTGCCCAGCGCTTAGAAGAGGGAAGAATTGCCCATCGCAGCTTTCGGCCGTTCACCTGCCTTCCTCAGCCTCCGCCAGAGGTTTTCTAGCTGTCTGGTGTAAACTTCCTCGGGGTTGAGAATATAAATTCAGGAACACAGAAAATGAGTCATGATGATCGTTTCATTATTATTACTTTGTTATTTTTAGACTTACAGTAGCAACAAAATTTTCATAACTTATGGTAGCATGTTTAATGTTTTTTCTGTGTTCTAGAATAAGTCAATAACCAGTTGGTATTTAAGAGAATAAAAATCCTATCTTGCTTCCACTTCGGTGAGAAAAGCCAGTATGGAAAAAGCAAGATTTTAGGAGGTTGTGTTTCTGCTTACAGAATTCATCACGAAAAGGTGTCTAGGCCAAATACTGGAAAATCTTACGTTTTATGATTTAATATCTCCTGTTGCGTTTACCCACGACATTACATTTCAAACTCCTAATAGGTGAATACAGGCTGACGGTATGGGAATCTTTTCCCTAAAATAATCCATCATGGGGGACGTGCCGTTACACGGTTCGGTGTTTTGTCTGAAACAGGAAGAAGCTGTTGTTGGGCAGGCGGGTGAGGTAGACGTTTGGGCACACCGGGCCCGGAGACAGCATCTCCCTGCAGCCTCTGCCTCATTTTCCTTCTCCTGTGTCCCCTTCTTGAGAGCATTTAGTGACCCTTGCAGGCATGTTTTTACCTCTGCTCATGCTGAGGCCTTGCCGGAGTGGCCTCTCTGGGGGCCGATCAGGGAGCCTGTGACCCGAAGTCCAGCCATTGCAGCCCTTCTTCAGCCTGTCCCTCGCTGACAATTGCCCTGCCCCGCCCTGCCCCGGGGCTCGGACACACACGGAGCATTTGAACCCGGTGAAGGCACCTTGGTGGAATCGGATGTAGCAGCGGACTCATTCGATGAGGGGAGCCGCATCTCATAAGTCTCCATTTTTGGGGGGACCAGGTTTGTGAAAAGCTCTAAAATGTGGTACAGCAGGTGGAGTGGGGGTAAGAGAGGGGTTCGGGGGAGAGGAAGGGGCTGGGTGTCTTTGATTGACCCTGCTGACATGTCATTTGGGACCAGTTTTATTTTACCAGCTTTAATTTGAATTAGACATTTTGCTCAGTAAAGCAATAAAATGGGAACATTATTCTTAGAGCACCCATGTTGCCCAAAAAGCATAGTCATTTGTCTTCTCCATCTGTCCACAGTGAAATGAGGATTCTTTTTGGATCAGTAATAACTTCAGTTCCTGAAGCTTCAGCATGTGCGTTTACTACTGCTCGAGTGCCTGAATTAGATGAGGGGTGTAAACGTCAGTTATTGTTAACCGAGATTAATATGTTTCAAGTCGTTGGTATGGCATTAACGTAACTATGATTTACTGTTTAAGTACTTCAGGCTAAAACAACTTACTAAGGAACAGTAATTTTGAGTTTTATAGCGCTGGTTCTGAGAAGTAAAGTTGGTAGTGTGTTCTTGTTGGGAGCCCTCAGGATGTTTCTGATTTTCAGCAGAACATTCTATTTCTTTCACCAAAAGGAGAGTTTGGATGTATAATCTCAGGTTTGCTATAATTAGTTCTGATGACAGAGTTAAATACCTTGGCCAAAACTGTAAATCACTAGTTAAACAGGTTTCTGCAACTGATCATAAATCTCAAACTCCGTATTTTAAGCACACTTGTTTTTTTTTGTTTTGTTTTTTTTTTTAGAGAGACAGCTATGGGAGGGGCAGGCCAGGGGTGGGAATAAAATGTTATCTGAACTTTGAGTAACAGCCTAGAACCTCACATTTAAGATCTACTGATTTCCCTGATACCTTTGGTCTAAAATGCTCTCTTTTCAGTATTTTAATAACATAGCTTATTGTTTACGCTAAGACAAGTTTGAGTTTAATTCTTAAAATATGAAAGTTAATTTTCAAAATGTCCAAATTTCTGTTTGTTAGGTAAAGATACCACTGTTTTAGAAATGTTATGTCCTGCTAACCTATAAAAAGTACCGTATGAGGTTGATATTTGAGTAAGATGCCAATTGTGTGTGTGTTTTTTTATGAGATAAGGGCTTGGGGGAAACAAGGTAATGTTATGTCAGACCTCATTTTGGAAAATTAGCTTCGTGAAACCCAGTAGTCAAATTCAGAACCAAGTGAAACAATTCAAGTTTTTCCATGTTGGCAGAAGTTGCTTTTATTTTTAGTATCTGGCAGAGCAACAAATGCTTTGCATGTCAATTTAATATTTTTTCAAGCCAACTGTTTATTCATTGGCTTAAAATTTACACTCTACTAAAAGTCTTAGTCCTGACTTTCATGAAACAAATAGTAATATTTGGACAAAATATGTACACGAAAATCTTTTTCCAAAACCAAATGTAGATTGGTATTTGTGGCATCAGGGCCTTTTAACATGGTAATGGATCTGAAAGCACTTTGAAAGTCTAAAGCAGTAGAAACCCAGGGCAATGAATTTCAAGGAATTAATTTTTGTTATGAAGTAATCAGAGCATCTTTCTAGGTTTTCAGATTTAAATTAGTGAGAGCCTTTCTGCCAGAAAGTGGAATATATGTTAGAGTAAATTTCAACGAACTGTCAAACGATTGCTTTATCGGCATGTATCTATTCATGACCTCTGTAGCATACTGAGACAATAAGACCTATTTTCCATTTTTGAGGTTGGGATGTTCTCTATAGATTTTGATAAAATGAGCAGAACTGCATTCTTTAGTCTTTATTATTTTATCCTCCTTCCATACTACTCACCTTGAAAGAAACACGCACACACGCACGCACTCTCCGCGTTGAGCTGTCCTCCGCATCGAGACTCGGCGTGAAAGGGATTTGTGACTCCCGTCAAGAACGTGGCAGTCAGTATATAGCCAATCTAGACGGCCATGGAGAGACTGAGAAAGGAGCCCCCAACCCATTGTGCGCCAGTGTTAAAACGAAGCGTGTTGCTTCTTCAACAGTTTCTCCTTCTGAGTAGAAGGAGATAAGTGTTCGTTTTGCTAGCGTTTCTTCAAATACAGTGGTGCCTTCAGAGTAGCTTCCTGCCACACTGGCCCCTGCGGTCTTGATCCCCGGAACACTACTACAGGCCTTCGGGGAGACTCTCCGTTAAATGCCATGAAGTCTGCAGTGTTTTCAGACGTGCTTGTAAAATGAAGAATTAGCTGCGGGATCCTTCTCTTCCTATTAGCGTTAGTAGCCGCTTTTTAGATTTGTTAGAAAAGGCATAAAAATGTTCCTTATTGAGATGACGTTTTTAAAACATTGAATTTAGGTACCTGCCTTTTATGTCCAGAACAGGTTTCTGAAGGAGGTGCAGAATGAAAGGGGTTGGAAGGAGAGCAGAGGGTGGTGCCCAAGAAAAGCCTTGGCTCCTGGGTGCTCCTAGGCCCGGTTTGCCTTGTGCCTACTCCCTGGCATTGCTCTAGAAGCCCCGGCCCGAACCTCCTCCGGGGGCCGTGGGCTGCCTCTTGCTGAATTGCTGCAGGGGGCCTGCTGTGTGACAGGTATGGAATGAGGTAATCTTTTCCCACCTCTAATTTCTGAAGGGTGTGTCTGTCCAGTTATTACTTGTTCATTGAACTTAAAGGTTTAGAAACCAACAGCTACAGTACAAGCTGTAATTACTGATGTCTGTTTCATATTCATCTGTAAGCTCTGGCATCTGATCAAGAAGTTAATATATCACTTCATCTTC